TGATCTGTTATAGAAAATAAAAAAGAACCCTAAATGGTAAATCTGTTTTATTATGAAATCAGTAACATATCCATAAAACCTTTTGCAAAAGAAAATTTCTGTTTTCACTATAAGCTCATCAGATTACCATTAAAGAGAAAATGGCTGACTTGATAAAATTTAATGCATGAAAGAATAAAAACTTTAAAATCTGTTAATGGCAAATCAACCACTTTTAATCTGTGTAAAAAAATATCCTTAAATTGTTTATATCATTGAATAAACACTTGATTTATAAAACATGTATTTATATACTTTGCTCATCACTACAAATCCACACACACACACACACACACACACACATATATATATATATTTGTGTATTTAGGCAGCAATCCTTCTTTCATGCACATTTCATTGAAAATGACAGACAAGTTGCTTTTATAAAAACTGTCCGAATGTTCTTTTTATCTGAGTTTTGAAAAATGAAAACTTTTTATAAAACATACATACAACAAACTATTTCTTATTTTAACAGTTAAAATATAATCCTTGAAAAGGGCTATATGTATAGCAAAGTGCTCAGATAAAAAGAACATTTGGACAGTTTTTATACAATTTATCATCCGAAAAGAAAAAAATTATTAGATCACATGAGAAATTGTATAAAAAACTAAATAAAAGCACCTTGTCTGTCATTTTCAATGAAATGTGCATATATATATATATATATATATATATATATATATATATGCTAGGTAAATATGGCAGGATCAGTTGGTTTAGAGTTGATAAAGGTATGGATAGTATACAACGGTAGTTGTTTTATGGATTCCTCTCTTTGTGTTTTATCCAAATGTCAAAACTTATTGTTCTAGTAAATAAATTATTCCAGCAATGAATTTTGATTTCTCTCTCTCTCTCTATATATATATATATATATTATTCTGTTATTATACATCGAGCACTATTTTATTAGCATCAGCATTCAATGTGTGTTATTTCATATATATATATATATATATATATATATATATATATATATATATATATAGGAGAGGTGGGCGTAATGGATAGCGGCTTGGATTGAGGAATCGGAGAGTGGAGTTCGAATTCCAGTCAAATCCATTACATTCACTTACATGCTAATACCCTTGGGAAAGGTATGAATCCTCCTCTTCTCCCTCCAGCTATGGGTAAATAGCAGGACAGACTGGGTTCTATAGCCTTGGATGGCAACTGGTCTAGGAGAAGGACAACTCTGAATTCAAAACCTGCAGAGGGTCGTTTAGGGCCCCTGTGGTATGTAGTGCACCAAGTCTCTGTATTTGGCCCTTCAAAAAGTGTGGTTGGTTCTGCACAAAACCTTCACTACTATAATAAAATCTCATGTGCAGGAGTCGGGCTGTCAGTTTCCTAGGAACTGGTTCGCTTGACCCTCATATGACGAATTCAACGGGAGAGTTGAGTATGTATATACCCCACACACACACACATGCATTGTTATGATTATTTTTAGTTGATACTCATATTTGGGTAGATACTCCATTTATTTATTAAACCATATATTTATTTTTTTCTACAGCCTGAATATTTGAGAAAAAAATCTGTCAGATTAATATATAAAAGATCCTTTACTTCTTTAGAAAACACAGACATATGTATACAAGTTAACTTAATTAGAACTTCAAGGGCAAATAAATAAATAAATACTTGTTTAAAGGATCAAAAATGTATACTTCAGATAATTGATCCTAAAAAAAAACTACCTGTTTCCTGCATCATCTGTTGAAGTATTTTTTAAAGAATAACATAATTGGTCTTGCATATATGTCAGTATTTGGTCATATCTGATACTTTCTATAAAATACCAAAATCGATTTTTTCCATTGTTTCACTTTTTAAATATTTATGCAATGAGGTGATTATTTTATTTACTTCATTTTGTTTATAACCCTTGTTAAATTTTGACCAAATCTACCTGATATATATTTGTATTCAAGGTGATTTTGGGATAATCTACTTGATATATTTCCAATATAACAAAAAAGTTGTTAGTTATTTTCCCTTAAATATAAAAAAAAATGTAGATTTTTAACAGCTTTATTTTATGTTATGAAGTAAATAAAAAAAATGGATGAATTTCACTCTATATTTTCTTTTTGTTGCCTTTTGTTCATCATTTTAAATCACAGCATGGATTTTGGTGTTATACTCTGCCATACTAGAATTAATTCTGTTTTATTTTTATTTCTTTTACAATTAAAATGAAAAATAAAATATTACGGTGGGTTCTTTAAAACAAGGTAATATTGATTGATATTCATAACTTTTTATTAGAATTTCAAAAGCTAATTCCTTCAAGATAAGCAAAATTGATTGTAAAATTGAAAGGGAAGTCTTCAGTTTTTTTTAATTCAGGAAGTCTTCAGTTTTTTTTAATTATAGAAGAAATCTTTTCCCGAAAGCAAAAAATTTTGCCAATTTCTAAGGCAGATGCTTATATGCATGGTCTTTTGTTGTGAAAATATCTGCAGTATCTTTAATGAAAAGATTACCTTGACATTTTTTTTTTAGTAGTGCACCATATGAAGAATTGTCAATCATGCAGTCCACTTTGAAAAAGGTTGACCATGCCTGACCTATCCTCATTTTTTGTGGATAGTAACATTAGTAATGTGAAGAGAGAAAAAGACAAGACTGAAGTAATGTTTCCCACAAATTCCACTGATCAGTGTCTGAAAACAGAATTTCAATGCTGATTTTCAAGGAAGGCAAGACTTTTCTTCTTGTAAAATGAGTACAACAAAAATTTCCTATCATGGTATCATTAACAGAAAGATTCTCCTTTTCTAGAAAACTACAGCTACAAAAACATCCACAAACTTGAAAATGGAAAAAAGTTTCTTAATATTGTTCAGTTTGTTAATATTCCATACTGTGAATTGATAGATTATATTATCTGCCTGTCTCTCTCTCTCTTTATATATATATATATATATAATGTAGTATCCACATATGAGGCTAGATTGATAAGTAAAAGCTCTTCCCATCTTGTATTGTTGATAGTAGAAATAGCAACATATTTGCATACATATTAAGTAGTATGCAATGTCATGGTTTATTATGATAATCAAAGTTTTCACAATAGAATTGGTATAAACTAGTAGATAGTGGTAAAATCTTCAGGCCATATTTATATATATAAATATATATTTATGTGAATTTCACTTTATGATATCTGTTTATATCAGAAATATTTACAATAACTTATTTGAGTGTTATATTTTATTATAAAATTTAAATATTGTTCATCATATTGAAAATAACTATGTAATATTATAGACATACATTATAAACAATCAACATACTTCCAGTAAATTGATGAAGTTATATTAATATATCCCCATGATACTGGTTTATCTGATCTTGTAGATAAACTAAACAAAGTCAAACATACAATAGAATTTACATACGAAATGGAAGAATACATTCCTTTACCTTTCCTTGATATCATGCTACAGCAGATTAACAGTAGCCTAAAACTTGTTCACCAGAAATCAACTAATGAAAATTTCTATTCTCATCAAATCAACAAATAAAATCTGGAATAATCATTGAATTCTACTCAAGATCCCTCAGAACTTGCGACCCTCAATAATTTTACATGCAGAAGAAAAATACATTGAAAATATTTTCAAGTTTCTCCAATACCTAACTATTTCATATTCAATATGAAACAAAATGCTCATAAAATATTCGGAAATAGAAAAGCAGCCTCTCCTGACAAACCCCAAAATCAAAAAAATACATTGTTCTACCGACTAATTCTATCACAATACAATTGAAAAGAATTTATCTAAGTTCAATATAAAATTTGTCACAACTTCATCCAAAACAATGAAAGACTTAATCAATTACAAATCAAAACAATAAGCTAAAATTTGAAGGAAGAATTTACACTATTAGCTGTAATAATTACAAGAAATACATCAGTGAAACCTCAAGGAATTTAAATAAAAGATTATATGAACAAAAAAGGCATCTTTTATAAAACAGCTCATTAAATACATTAATTGCTCACCATAATGAGACTGACCATAATTTTGACATAATTGACTAATTAAAAGAGAAAATAATTCACTAAGATGAAAGTGTTTAAAAAGTGTTTCAATTGCTGGATCATCCACAGTAAATTTGCATCTAGTTTCTTATGTTTCACCACTTTTGGCAGATCTTCTGTTATCACAATTTGGGATATTTAATATCAAAAGTGATGGAAATGAAAACAAAAATAATCTAAATGAAATCGGTGAGATTATATGCCCAAAACACATAGAAAAAGAATCCTTTTTTAAATTAAAAATCTCAGAGGCTCTCATTTATGTGTTTTCATATCAGCATAAACATACACTTAGTCTGATTATGTTTTAAAGGGTGAAACATGTCACATAAAACTTTTCCACTTTGTCATATACCTTTCCCCCCAAAAGACATACATACATATATATGTATATATTAATTTAAGATGTATGAAGATTACTAGAGGTTGTAAGAAAAAGTCAACTATGAATGTCTTTCTTTTAATATGCTAGAAATTGAGCTCTGTATATAATATGCTTTTATATTCTTTTTAAATTAATTTTTCAATTTGTATCTTATTTATGCAAGCAACTTGTAGTAAATGTGAGAAACCTGCCAGGATTTATGCAAAAAAGGATTGGTGACAAGAGTAAGATGTAAAAACAATCTTTGTTAAACCTACTTCTGATTAAAGGGCAAAGGTTTAGGTAGAATGGCACTTCTCCCAACCCTTAACCCCAGTACTTCCAACCCACAACTTCTTCCATTTTAAATCTTAGACTTGTTCGTTTAAAACTTGTCTCTGGATTTCCTGCAAGAAAACCACCTACGCCTGCTCCATCCATGCAGGGCTATCCAACACAGACACTGACTGTGTTATCATAAATAACCCCCACTTGGTGGAGATGTTGGGGAAAAAGAGCTTAGGGGTGTAAGCAATGGTGGCAGGGGTACTGCAGTCCTTGGTTTGGCCTGCTGACCCAGTTCACACAGTTTATTTTTTTCTTTTTGGTGTTACCCAGTTTGTGCTTTGTGGTGGCACTTGCAACACAAGTTCCTCTCTCTCTCTCTCTCTCTCTCTCTCTTAGTGCCTTTTATTTTTTGTATGAATCATTGCAGTTGCTTACTTCATTGGCCTTCAGACTAGTTTGACATTGCCTACTTTGCTAAAAGTACCATTTGTAACAAAATGTTTAAGAGTAAACACTACAGAAAAAGTGAATAAACTTCAAAAGGAAAATGCTTAGTGTTCTTCAAAGACTCTATTGTGGAAAGGTTCTTTCATTGGTTAGTATCCTCATAGCACCATACAGAGGCAAAATCTTTATCCACAAAGAAATTAGTGAGCTGTAGAAACAATATTTTTAAAAGGTAACTTTTTCCCTTTAAGGTTCTGGCATGATTACAGAGTGAAAAAAAGTCTTTTTATTTAAATTTGTATTAAAGGTTAATTTTCATACAAATTTCTCATGTGGAAAGTTATTTTTTATAATTAGAGGTTAGTGTTTTACACACACTGTGTTGTGGAAAGGAATTTTAAAAAATTATTCTCTATGTTAAAGGTTTTTATTTATTTTTTAATTAAAATTTATTATTAAGGTTGTTAGAATCACATTAAACAAAGGTCTTTATAAAAAAAATTTAATTAAAGATTATTTTCAAGGTTGTTAAAATCATGTTAAGCAAAGATTGTTATAAAAATATATTTGTTGTTAAATTAAGCTATTGTTCTATCAGGACCAATTTTGTGAAATTTTATTTATTTTTTTTGCTTTAATGAGAGTTAAATAAAATTTTAAAAGCCAACTAAAAATGGTTGTTAAAATTTCATGCATCAGTTAAGTGAATTGTTTGCATTACAGATCTTGTTTTTGTTGTATTATCCAAAAATACAAGTAATCAACTGAACAAAACATGTATAAAACTTGATTTTAAATCAAAGAAGAATCTTACTTCATCATCTCAGTTACAATATTAAGTCAAGAAAATAGCTTTAAAAATATCTATAAATAAAATCATTTACTTTTAGAGTGTTTTTTTCTTTAGTTAAATGGTTGAAGAATCAAGAATGAAACTCTGAGAATAAATCATAAAAACAATTCCAATACTCTTTCTTCTATAACAAACTTTTGAAATATACCAGTTTTGGCAGTCCCTAATCAGAAGAATCATATTATCTTAGACTGAGAGTTTTTCACAATGAAGTGACCATCTAGTAATGCCAATAATATTTATAGATAGATTGATTTGCTAGAACTGCTTGCTCATATTTATCCATATATTTCAGTGGGTTTGTGTTGTCATATCTAGCAATTTATATATCTCTGTTTATTTCTTCATGTTTATAAATATCTCTCATGTGTGTGTTCTTATCTGCCTATTTGTGTCTTATTAATTTTATTACACACACACACACACACACACACACACACACACACACACATATATATATATATATATATATATATATATATGGTGAAAGGTCTCTCTTAGTACTCTTCAAATATACTGCTTCCAAAATTGCTACCCTCATTTCTGAATGGATCCTTTCTGGCATGAAATATTTTATACCTTAGAAAAAATTCCAATCAAATAGCCAGCTAGGGTTCACTTGTGAATGTACTGCAGCCATAGCTCACTGTAATCACTACTACACACAGGGAATTGGTATAGTAAAACGTTTGTAGCATTCAGAACTACCTGCAATCATTGGAAAGAATTCTAGAAACTTACAGCACAGTACAGCAATGCACAAACACTTTAAAACATTGTCAAAAGCAAATGACTTGGACCCTGGGAGTTCTAGAAAATCTCTAAATAAACTCTCAACAGAGGCAAAGTGTCAGTGCCTACTATCATAAATGGTACTGAAATTTTCTCATCCTCACCAGACAAGATTTTGTGCTCCTTGCTACATCCCCATCCTGACTATCCTCCTCTTATAGAGCACATATATAGAAATATTTTTTATCACAGTCTGAGAAGTCTCAAAATTTATCAGAAGCATTGAAACTAAGAAAGCTATAAAATCCCCATAGTCATCTTTAAGAATATTAACATTGCTCATAACAAAACTGTTTAACTGCTACCTGAAGGAGAAATCCTTAAGTCCATCGAAAGTGTCAAGTTTATGCCCGGTTTCCAAGTGGGTAAGCATTTATCCCTGTCTCAATATCAGCCCATCAGTCTCCCTAGTTTCATCAGCAAATTCTTTGAGGCTATATTCAATAAGAAATCTGTTGATCATCTCAATAGGAACAACCTCTTTAGCAACAAACAATACAGATTTCAATCAGCTTGGTCCACTGCTGATATCCTGTCATTAGTCAAAGAATCAGTGAGGCATTAAACAATAAATACATCATAAGGATTAAATATATTGAAGGCCATTGAAAAGGTGTGGCATAGGGGGTTGCAACATAAACTCTCCAGCTATGGAATCATTGGAAGAGTCTTTTCACTTATCAAGTTCTTCCTAACTGGTAGGTTCATAAACGTAGTTGTTAATAGCCAGTCTCCTGAGGCTCTTGTGATCAATGCAGTCATCCTACCGAGGTTCACTTTTTGCTCCAACTTTCTTTTTTGCTCAGCCTGTCAGTTAGGTGGATGACTGTCTTGTTAATATTGTGGTTGTGCCATACTTTTTTCCATTTTTGAATTGCTGATTTAATAGTGGTCTGTGAAATGTTCAAACATGGTATCTCTTCTTTATATTTCTTCAAAACTTTATTCCTAATCTGTCTAGTGAAGCCATGTTATTTGTTCGGTAACATTCACTAACAAAAATCTCTAAGGCCTTCTCAGAACAAGTGTATTTAACTAGAGAGTGCAGATTCAAATATTCTAACTCTTTTTCCATTCTTTTCCTTACAATAAATCTTCATAATCAGGTGGACTCTATTTACTAATTATGTGACTTCTGAAGGCAATTGGGTGCACTGGATTTTACTTCATGGTTTTATAGTAAAGGGGAAGAATACATATGCACTTGAAATTTTTCTGATTTTTGTTTGTAAATATTTTGAAAACCATGTAATATCCCTCCCCAATTCAAAATGATGCACTATTTAAATTTGTCCATGACCTGAAACCCAAATAAAATACATTTAAATTTTTCAAAATTCCTTTACAACATTCTTTTGAAATATTAATCTACTCTTGCTTGCAAACAAATTCAAAATTTTTAATGTTTCTGAGATTGTTCTGATGAATTTAACCTTTCAAATTCACCATAACATTTTCCATCAAGAGATTGACAAGTTGACACCATTATATTGTTTTGAACAAAAGATACATGGTTTCCTTTTGCTGTATCTTATGAGTAGATATCCTTTTGAAAAATGAAACCTTCTTTAAGCTCTATATTCACTTATTGGCCTCAAGTTATACCTCATGTTACCATAAAAATGGAATGTCTCTTTACTGAGAGGATATCAGGCTTTGTGGCTACAGAATATCTAAAGTCAAATTTTGCTTCATAGAATTGATATTCACAAGTTGGCATATAAAACTGAAGAAGAAATTTAAACATGAAAAATAATTATTGGATTTGTTTAAGAAAATAGAAATGTTTTTGATCGTATTGAACAGAATATGGAGGATCATATTTAGTAAATAAGGACAACAAGAATTCACAGAAGTTAAATAGATATTAATCACAACAGTGTGCAGAGGATCAAATGAAGACAAGGTGTGAATTTCAAAATGGGAAGTTGAGTAATTGATGCTTTTTGATGTTTAATATGTAATGTTGTAGAAAGAGTGACTCACTTTAGCAGTAAATCTGTCTCCTTTCTATAAAGCAATAAAGAATTTTTTTCTTAAAATGCATTTGGGACAATGTTTGTTTTTTTGCTGACATATATGTGAAGAATAGAACAATAGGCAATTCCCTGAGATTAAATATTTTTGCTGGAAAGCAGCTATTAGTCACAGCAGTGTGCAATGATTTAAGTGCAGTATGAGACTGGTATTGAGAACTCATCAATTTACAGTTGATCTGGCTAGATGTAGCTGTAAATTCTATGCTAACAGTTTCTTTTCTCACACTTCTTGCTTGTGGAGCTTCCTTCTGGTTCCATGCTTTCCAGCCAACTTTAATGCAAAAATTTAAATGCAATGTCAGTTAATATCTACTGTCCTCCTTTTCTCTTCCCCCCCGTCATTATTAATCTTTCTGTTCCTAATTCTGCCACACTCAGTGTCTTAGTGGCTTTACAGTTAAAAAAAGAAAGATACAAGGCATGATTTTTATAAAAAAATGCGGATGTCAAGCACTTAACATAATTTCATGCATAATAGGTAAAGTAACAACATTGTTTGTTCATGAACATGTTAAACAATTTGTCATTTGTCTTACAAGAAATTAAAATTCTCATTGGGAAGTATGCATTAGTAAAGAACAAAGTTTCATTAAAATCTTTCTTAGAGGAAAATTACCTTCATTAATCTGTTGTTGTGAAAAATAGTCCAGCATTAGATTTCATTATTACATTAATAAGTAACAACAATCCTGTGTTTGATACAATTTTTTTTTTTGTTTTGCCAAAAATAGATAAAACATGACTTCTATCACTTAGATCTTTTTTATATTTTTAAATATAAAAATATATCCTCCTGTCCATTCACTTGAAATTAAAAACTATCTTATCAGTCTTTATAATGTAATCTATATGTTAAATCATTAAAAAATAAATATTTTTAAACACAATTTACCTTGGACAAAAACATATCCTGCATATGATTTGTAACTTCATGTTATAAGTAAACTCTACAAGAGAAATATGTATCTTTTTTCATCCACAAGTAAGACATATGTGAAAATTTTTAGAACCTGATTTAAAGGTACCTTATAGCTTGGATCTATAATCTAACCTTCTAGTGTATGGGTTCTGTAGTGCTTGGCTTACTGATTGACTTGTGTGATAATCCTATAGAGGAAGACTTCTTTATTTATTGACAGGAGATCTTTTGTGTTTTATGAGCTGTTTGCTTTGTAAGTTGTTCAAGTAATTAAGAGAACAGATTACCATGTGGGGAGATTGTTGCAACTTCAAGAAATGTTACAGAGAAAGCAATATACCTACT